TCTTCTCATGCTAGTTAAAATCACATCACCTCGGTTATCCTAGCGACAGTTGCACTACTTTTCAAGCTGTTCAAGTAGTTCTCCGAATGTACCTGATACAGAATAACCGCAAACTAAAGGTTTTACATAGTTCTACTTGCAAGAAAAAAATCATTCCAAGCAAAGAAAACTTCATCGACATCTAAGAGAAACCCCAAGTACCACTAAAAGATCAATCTTGGAAGCTTCTAAAGGCTCAACGATTGATCTCTCCTCCAAAAACCCATCAGAAATAAGGAACCTGCAAACTCGACCCCACTTTGAAGAATCAAATGGGTGCCTGCACATATCAGATATCAATTATCAGAAAAGTTTGGTCAACGGAGAAAATTTCCAAGAAAGAAGATTGGGGGAAATACTGACAATTTCTCAATACCCATGAAGGAGATGTCGTATGCCGATGAGTAGATGATCGAAACCTGTCGATCAAACGGAAATTCGTCAGTCAAATCGTGAGATTTACACAAACTCACACAAAAGTCTGTACCTTTGAAAGAGGGACGTCGAAGTAGAGTTTGCTGGAGAGGATTCGATCTCGCCGGAGAGCTTCGGGGTGAGTCGCCATGGAAAACGATGACATTTCAGAGGATTGAAAGCAACGGTAGAGAAACTGTGAGGCTTTGATGGCGGCAAACGTGAAGAACAAGTAAACAGCTGAGTCGCGAGTTAAATCGGTCCAGGTCGAGACGACGACTCGGTGAGTATCTTTCATGACTGTTTTTTTTTCTGCTCTTAAGCGGTGAGATATTTTTTTTTTTCTGGGAGAGAGATTTTGATTTGTCTTTACTCTTCAGACAACTTTCCACACGCGCGTAAGGAGCGCGTGTTTGCGACTATTGTTTTCGGTTTAGTTCTTAGTAATTTTGAGTCGGTTTTGGTTTGGTTCTATCCAACTCTATTTTTTTAATATATTTATTATTAAGAAATCGGTTATATGCCATGACATTTTTTTTTTGAATTACTACATGCCATGACATTACTCAGGCAGTTTTTTAAAAGCGATTACAAGTAGAGATATAAAAAGAGGGTACAAATTATGAACCATAAACAATTGAATCTTCCATTTGGATTGACTTAAGTGTTTAGGAAGAAAATACCTTTAGCCACGTTCACATTTGTTTCCATGTCCTCAGTTTCAGTGTCCACGACCTACGGCCTACAATATCATCTATGTAGCTTTTGTTGATGGTTTAACCGATCTATCTCAAAGGATTCGTTTTTTATAAAATGTCATAAGGTCCATCGAATCCATTTCTAAATCTAATGCTTCTTCTTCTTCCAAGAGATCAATAAGACAAACTTGTTAGAACCAAAATCTAGCTCGACTAACTTACGACTTTCCCTTTGGATAGTAGAGTTTGGTATCCAACCCTAATTGTTATTCATTAAATTTATCTCTTTATTTAATAGCTAATACAAAAAATATAATGTTATTTTCAAAAGGTTCCGAATGGAGATATATTATTTTATAGATAACAGATCATAGCTTCTAAATTTCTTGCCAAAATCTATATATTGATATATAGCGTAAATTACCTATCAAAAATAAATTGAATTACAATAGACCACTATATATTTTATATAAAATTGTCTTCTTCTTTGAACTATACATAAAATTACTTAAATATGTTCATTTTTTTGCAGTTATTCATTTCCTACATCAACATATGGTAGAAAAGGGAAGAAAAGGAAAAGTGATCAAAGAATAATAACGTTACTACTATTTATAGTGTAGTATATCATAAATCTCTTTGTATACTTTGTGTGTATTTATAACCCCATAAAAATGTCTCTCTCAAGTTATTGTTGTCCGAGATTCTAACACAAAGGGGTAAACAAAAGAATAAAAAATATTGATGGTTAGACCACGACAAGTACGTAGTCTAAATGGTTTGTATCATTGTCATTGTCGCTGCGTCAACAATAGAAGGTTGATGAAGATTCACCATTTCCAAACCCATTTACTTTTCAGGACATCAACAAAGCCCTTGCGACTAGCCTTATTCCTTACGATCCTTCTTTGATAGAATCCATCTCTTTTCGCTACCCAAATGCACTCATCACCTCCTTCTCCGCACTCCTTTCGAAACCCGCCCTTGACTGAGAACACCGTAACTACATTTTCGTTCGTTGTTCCGAACCCGCTCCTAAACTGGCACCGGAACTCGGTTTTCTGGAACGGCCACATGTTCATTGTCGTGAATTCCCATACCCGCGATTGCTTCGGCTTTAGCATGTCCCATCCTAGGTCGTCCTCGTTGGACCAGCACCGCACGGCCAGCTTTGCTTTCCGGACATTAGACACCCCTAAGATTTCGTTCTTTAGCTCTAGACGACCAGCCATGGTTGGTTCGGGTAACAACGCTACCACGACCAGAACCACGGCCACGAAGAAGCACCAGCTTAGCTTTGTCCCCATTTGGATCAAAGGATCACTCTGTTTTCTCAATTTATTGATTTCGTCTAGTCTTGGGGCTAAGGGAATAAATTGGGACAGGTGAAGATGTAACCAATATATAAATATGCATTCGATGGCAATTAGACCGTTACTGTTGCGCCTTCCAAATTTAGATGTACTAGAAGCTATTTTCATCTATTTTTGGAGATAGAATAGAGAACAAATCCCAAAAGTTGAAAGATAAAATGTCCTGTTTCAGTAACTTTGACCATAATCGCCATCATCCTCCTTGATATTGTTTATCACATAGGTTGAAAATTTTATAACGTTATGTTTCCTTCATGAATGGTATATCATTCTTTTTTTTTTTATAACGAGGTTATACAACATTTTAACCATTCACAACATTGTTAAAGTTTTCATATTTTTATATAAAAAAAAATAATTCCGCTATAATATTAATCATGAATCCATTAATGACGACTAAGGTTCTTTGATCATTATCTTGCAGAAACTGTATCACCTAAAACGTCTTTGGTTTTCCATTAACCTACTATTCCGTTTCCTATATTGATAATTGATAAGTACCCAATCTATTCACAAGATATCAACATATAGGTACGTTCTTTTTCATTTTCACCATATATATAGTTACACACATTGTATGGTTTTATTACCATGAATAACAACATACAGAGACGAAAATCACCACATTGTCATAATCTTCATATCGATCAACATTGCGAAATTGTTAATCAGCTCCAAGGACTTTGGAGGACATCATGTTGAACATACTCATACCACCTCTCGTTACCATACTTGTTACTAAAAAATATGGTCTTCCAATGTCTCAAGTAGAGTCCATCCTTCTTAACAACCCAAGTGCATTTTTCCCTGTCCCCACACTGCTCTTTCATCTCCCATGCAGCCACTAGCTGCTTGTCCACTCGTCCGTACCCTGTGTGGAAGTTGCAATGGAAGAAAGTGTGGAAGAGCGACATGGCGAAAGACCAGTCCTTGTGTTGACCTGGCCAGTTCTCTCTCCACCCGAAATCGTTGTCTCGGGACCAGCATTTGTACACAAGCCTCCTGTATCGACCCGAGAGTTCGTTCCTGATTTCTAGTTGAAATCCATGGGAGTGAGTCACCATCATTATGGTGATGATAAGTACAAGAACAAAGTGCCCATTTAGGGTTTTTTTAGTTCCCATATATATATGTGTGA